GTGTGTGTGTGTGTGTGTGTGTGTGTGTGTGTGTTTCTGGTGACATTTGGGGGGCAATTTTAAGACAAAAATCCTACATTTGGGGACAAAGGTCGAGACCCCAACTGGTTTAAATGCCATTGATGGGTTGGGGGTTCAGTTTAGGACTAAGGTGTGAATTAAGTTTAGGTTAGTTTTAGGGTCAGGTAGGTACCTGTGAGGTTAGTCTTAGGGTTTGTGGTCAGGGTTAGGCTGTAGGAATGTAATGGAAGTCAATGGAATGTCCCCAAATGTACTGTATATCTGGGCAAACATGTGTATGTGTGTGTGTGTGTGTTACGTCATTTGAGCAGTGAACATGACGGACACACACTCTCGCGTCCACTCTGTGTGCGCACTTTGCGCTGACTAATCCGGCACCCGAACGCTCTCGAGACATTTCCGAGCCACACATGTTCTCTGACCCATGCATTTTTTGTTGTTGTTGTTGTTGTTTTTTTCCTTTCGTCTCCCATCTGCCAGCTCTGTCATCAGGATACGGTCAAGCCTGCCGCCTGTGTGATGTACAACACACACTGCAACACACGCGGCGGACGACCTTGCYTGTGAGCGTACACATGCTAAGGGTTTAGTCACAGCCGTACACGCGGACCCCCCCCACTCCCTGCTTCCCGCCCGCCTCTTCTCATCTTCTTGATCGCTGCCTCTCTCTTCTTCCCTCAAACAAACACTGAGCTGATAGTTCTCGGAGCCCCGGCGGGCTCTGGTAGTTCCATGTCCGAGCTGAGTCGCATGGACGATTCACTRGGAGCCAGAATCCGCTCATAGCAGCTCTGGGAAGGACGGACTGACTAACGGAGACCGTGAAATAAGTTTAAAAGAGAGATAGAGAAAGAAAAAGGAATCCTGCAGACAGATGGAGAGAAAGGAGGAAAAGTGTGATGGACAGATGGAAGGCTGGAGATTAAACATTTACAAACAGATGCCAACCACCTGTACAGAGGGAGAATGAATGCAGCGAGGGCAGCGACAGGGAACGGGTGTTTTAAGTGTTTGCAGATGGACCATATGTTAAAATATGTGCTAAAACACCAGCTTGTTTGGAAACAGAGCYAGGCCCTTTAAGGAAAAACAGTCGTGACACTACTCGTGCCCGAGTTCTGCCTCGCGTTAATCAGTCAGACATACGATATAAATTAAAAAGCGATTGCTCCACTGATGGACTGAGCTCTGGCTGCCTGACTCTAATTGATAAGGAAGAAGTTTTCGGCGGGAGAGAGAAAAGACGGTAATGAAGAAGGGGAACGGGGATGGGAGAGGGAGGGAGGAAGTTGTGAAGGGGGGTCGTGGCAGTTGCAGAACAATGGGCAGCCAGGACAAAAACAGGCTGAGAGGGAAAAAATGATGTCAGGCAGAGTTCAAAATCAGACCCTGAGGCTGTGGCATGAGGCTGACAGTGGCAGAGAGGAGAAGAAACAAGGCCAGGGTGCTTTGTGTCCTCAACGATTCAGACACGAACAGGAAGTATTCACGAAGGAGAGTACACAAACGCTACTGCGTACAATAGGATTTATCATAAATACAACAGAAAATCTCCCACTTCAATATTGACAGCAGCACAATATTTAAACAGTTACAATTATTTAAAAAAAGAGATTTGTTGCAACAACTTTAACTTTGTTAGTTATATCCAGTGAAGATAATCTTCACACAATCTGGGGATGGTATTTAAAACAGATTTCAAAGTTGCAGAGGTCTGGCTGATTGTACACTCTTTTATCATGCTGGGAAGGAGACAGAAGATCAGGTGAGGTGAGGGGAAACTTATGTCCTCTCAGTGTAGCAGCAGATGTGAGCAATTATGGACAAAGACAAATTGAGGTCTCCTGCTCTCTATCAGAAATATCCTCCTTTTCTCAGTCGTCTGTGGTCCATCTTTGGTGCACGTTCCTGAAATTGTATTTTGTTTTTCGACTCATTACTCTCGCCTGGTTTTTAAATACTATTCTCTTCTTTTATTCTTTAAACAGTTTTTTTAACATCCATGTCTCTTTTCCTCTGCAGGCGAACAAGCTTCGCACAAAAACCCTGAAGAACACGTTGAATCCAGTGTGGAACGAAACGCTGGTGTATCACGGCATCACGGGAGCTGACATGTCCACAAAAACACTCAGGTAAGGCTCCCTACTCTGAATTATTATTTTTTCCCTTCTCTCCAGTCATCAACATCATTGTAAGCAGCCTTAAGAGCTGCTCACTGTGCAGGAGGAGGAAATCCGTACRTCTAACTCTCCGGTGAGCTTCCAGCAGCACTCTGAGCTTCCCAGTGGGCTTCTCCACGCACTGCGATTCATTAATAAAGCCAGGCAGCCGGAGCCGACTGTTCCACTTGCTGCTCAGGTGTTAGGCGAGTCTCCGCCCCCCGATGCCCCACAGTGCTCTCCTCGCGGAGTGATCGAGGTCAAACGTGGCCATCTTGGCCCAAAAACCTCKGAGGCACTCGTGTCATCCTGCGTGTTATTTCGGAGACGTGCGTTTTGTTTGCGGACGTGCGCGTTGAGTTCAATCAGTGTCAGTTTTCTAAGAGGACTCATAACAGGGCTGGATGTTTGTCCTGAGGAAAGACGAAGCCGGTGTGCGCCTGCACGCACGCTCTCGCACACAGACACACACGGATCTCGTTCCCACTGCACACACAAGATGCAGGTGTGCGCCCGTCCTCTTGTGCATACAGTATGTCAAGGGCAATTACCGGCCCGTCCTCCGTAGACCAAACGCACACAAAAACCACGCAAATTGCTCATGTCCTTGAGCCACACATGAGACTGATAAAGAAACCCACATGACCTCTGCTCAAGGACACAGTCTCAATCTGGTGCGGAGGCGGGGAGTTGCCAAAATCAGAAATAGAAAGAGCAAGAGTTGAAGACACATAAKGTTGGCAGCCAGGACCAAAAATAAAAAGATTCTAAAATGAGAAAGTGTAAAGGACAATAGAGTGAAGCGAAATAAAATCTTGGGATGGACAGAGTCCAAGGGTCAATGGAACAAGGGAAGAGACTGGCAAAGTATTACGAATGACGTGATGAATGAGGTAATTTACTTAGCTGAGTTAAAAGGGGGAAGCTGCTTGAAAGCTTAACCAAACAAGAGCCAAGAAATGATTGAATGAGGACAGTTCGAGAAARAGGAGACCGCCAACGAGCCGGAGTGAACGACGCGCTCGCTGACAGCAGGGAGGAAGAAGAAAGCAGGCGACAGACAGAAAAAAAAAAGGAGGAGGAAATGTGTGCTCGAGCTCTTTGGATGTTTTCACCAGCACAAAACCTCGGCTCATGAACACGCTTTTTATCTTATCACTCCTCAGAAAGCTGCATGAGGAAGGGGGAATTAAAGGGGCTTCTGCAGAGTGATGTTTACTCAGTGTGTTGCAACCCGAAGCACAGAGAGCTGCCGGTCCCAACAGATGCAGAGGCAGGGATGCTCTTTGATCCCTGGGCTTTGTGCTCCGAGATGCAGGCCCACCTGAAAGACAGGACAGGTCAGAGTTTACTGGAAACATAAGACATAGGATGGCTTATCACTTTGGTGCTGTCATGCTTTTAGATGGTTCTGCTTAAACTGAGTTCTTAACTGTTATGAGTGAATGCAAAATAAAGTTCAAAACTACATGCTAAAACTAGCCTGGCCCTTGCTTCCTACGGAGCTCCGCTCAATTCTAGTTTCCCTTCACTGCTCCGTCTGGGACTTCTCCCATTGAGATGGATTTCGCTGGCAGATTTTTAGCCGAACCAATCAGAGAACAGAACGTCAATTTTCTGTGCAGTGTCTGCTTGTAGTTTATTTTACCTGGGCCAATCAGCAAACAGAAGGCGGAGTTTTGAACAACGTCGATTTTCTGCCTGTGTCTACTAGTTAGTTTAGCATACGGCAGTGGAGGAAGTGAATGAAGCCAGTCCGTGTTGATAAGGCTTCCAAATTAAATTAAATTTGTCTGACAAAGCAGCAGCTCTCATTTACAGTCGTCTCGTTCGGCTCGGTATATTTCTCCTCTCAGCAGGGTTGTTTACAGCATACGCGATTTCCGGTTAGCTTCTTAGCTTGGCCTCCTTCACAGTGACAACACACATACATGCTTCAGCAGAGGCCACGCCTCCTGCAAGAAATCGGTTCTTTATGCATCGAGTCCAAACCCTTGTCCGAAGCAAAGTGAAGGACAGGGTCTGGTTTGAACKATGCWYTYCTAAAACTAACAATTGTGTCAAAGACYATTGTTTTATTTTTGTTCTAACTACTAAAAACTATGACTTTTAAGTTTACTTATGAAGCACTTTTATTCAACAAAACAAAAAAAAACTCTTTCGTTTGTCTAACATAAAATACACCTGAGGAAGTTTCTTTAAAAAAAAAAAGAGGATAAAAGCTGAAGTACAGCCAGGACCTTTGGAGACCTGCAGTCTCTTATATGAGAGAACAATCTTTGCAAAAACAGTTCTGTTGTGTGCAGCATAGAGAAAAATGGCAGTGGAACATCAGACACACACATTTTTATTCATTTATTTAACTCATTTGAACTTAGACTGATTATATAAAACCATCATTCCAACAAAAACCACAAAGAGTGATAGCTTAATAGAAGAAAGTAATAAAAAGACTGAAAGTTTAAAAAAAAGAGAAAAACAAATACTGACGTTCTAACAGCACTCTTTTTTTTATCATCAGTATTCAAAGACTTTAGGCCTGAGAGTGCTTACTTTATCTCTAAGAGCCACTGGAGGTTCATTTTGTTATTAAAAATGAAACGGACGAGTAAACCAATAAGTAATGTCTTCTATCGCGTCTTCACGCATGGCCTCATAGCAGCTAATCCTTTAATTGCTGCAGCAGCGCAGCCTGAGGTGTTCTAATCTTTAGTTAAAAACGTTGAATGAACTGGAAAGCACCGAACCATCTTGATGAAATATTTATCGTGTTTATGTGACTTTTTAAAGAAATTAGTAAAAAAGAAAAATTAAAAAAACCATTCCCTGACCTTGTTTTATGTCTGTTTTGAGAGTTTCGATGTAAGCTTTATTCAGATGCTACAGCGTGACTCTGCAGAAAAGCAGATTTCAGATAATTCTCGTAGCAAAAATGATACAGACACATTTCTAACCATTTCCTTCAATTTAATGACCCCACTATTTTCTCAATGCACTAAAAAGTACCACTGAGTCGAACGCTAATGCATACCTTGGAGAGAAGCCACTGGGAAGAGTTAAAGTTCTTGTGACTCACAGTGCATCACTAAAACTATTATCAGGCTGCCAAATAACAGCAGGGAGATGGGACTTGTGGAGGTGTTGTGATGAGAGGTGGGTATGAAGAAAGCTAACGTTTTTATCTGTGTGCGAGTGTGTGTGTGTGTGTGTGTTAAAGGAGAACAAATACGATGTCAGCACCAGGTCGGCTCTATATTCATTTTTTTTCTTCTCTGTCTCTTCATCCCCGTGTCTGGCTTCATAATAAGTTGGACTGTCCTTGGGGGTGGGGAGGCTGGGGCAAATCTATGACTTGAGTTACGACTGAATGGAGAGCAYGGTGCACTGGATACCTGACACCTTAATTAGGAATCAAGAAGTATGTTCGGGGAAACGGGAGGATATTTGGCTGAGACGATTGCGATTTCGTTTGAATCTGTCTTGGTGGCAACAGTCTCCATCAGGTTAAAGTATTTTATTTCCGAACTGACTTCACACCTTCAACCAAACTCCACTTAAACGGTTTCCAGAATTTCAAGCAYCYGATGCAACTGATTAATTTAACCAGGATTTTTTTTTTAACACCTTCCACCCACAGGGTGACAGCGGGAATAAAGAAAACTGCTGGAGGATACAAATAAGAGTAACTTCAATGGAAATCTGTAAATTTATCTGATTAGTCCAAAGGAGGGGATTTTAAAATTCAGCCCATGTTTGTGCTTCATGAAGAAGGTGAACAGATGGTGGAGGCATGTGTGGTTTGCACTGTGGAGCATGAAGGGGGACACGTGGAGGTGCTTTACTGACGGGGCTGCTTTAGATTCACTCAGAATCGAAGGTAGCCCCAACACAACCTTCTGTTCCAGCTTGTAATCTAATCTGTGCTGTTGGAATTGTTTTTTTRAAAGTGAGGATGAGCTGAGCTGAAACAAAACGTTGGGGTTTTATTGCCTCTTTATCTTTCAGAGGTGGCAGCCTTGTTACATCAAAACATGACCCTTAAAATGGCTCCAACAGGAGTATCAGAATGAATTTCCTGGTTTCATTCTGTTTTTGCTCAAACACCATTTCAGCTTCTATCTCTTTTTCCTGTCCCCCCCTGACATTTGGACATTTGACGAGCTGGTTCCAACCTTTTAGTCATAACTGATGAGTATCTCTAGCAGAGGCTTGAGAATAGCTCTGACTCATGACCACGACTGTCAGATGATTTAGCTCCTTTTGCTCCGTCATAGATGCAGGGTGTCTGTGATGAGACGAAGGTAGCTGTGAAATCTGACACCAGTTCTCTATAAAGTTTTGTCTTTATCTTTTTTGTGTGCGTGAAAAGCTCTTCCTCGATTTCCTGGTGAGCTCTCCCAGATTTTCCAGATTTCTGAATTCCTTTAAAAGCCCAACAGATGCTCATGTTTGTTCAGCCTGTGGTGAAAACTAAGTGTGCAGTCGTTGATTAAATCCTCCTCAGGAGTGACAGCGGGGTTCACTCATGGTTTAAATTAAAAACATATTGGAAGAACGCCATGAAAAAGTCAATTTCATGAAAACAAGGAAGACTGTAATGTGTACCGAACAGTGAAAACATGAAAGGGGGCTTATCATGCTTTTAAATCCTTCTTTGGTAGGGAAACCCTGCAAGAACCAGGGTTATTATAGTTCACTAAAACTAACTA